GGTTCCTCCGGCCTGTATCTGCAAAGCAGCTTCGACGTTGCCTCTCTGGCTGCGCTTGGGAGTTACAACGAGGGCCTGACGGTCTCCCCGGTGGGCTCGTTCACAAGCGCCGCACACCCGCAAGGCCTGCACCAGCCGCAGGGTCACAGCCAGTAAGTGCAAAACCACCTACCGCCGGAGCAGGGAAGGAACGTATTTATCAGCTGCACTGGCCGTGTGAAATAAGTTTTCTTTTCAAGACAGGTTATAATTTGTTTTCGTCTAATAGTGTTTTGCTTGCGCAGTGTTAGAATTGTATTGCGCTTGTCTTACAACCCTGAAGTTTGGGGGGTGGGGGGCTGGTGAAGGAGCCTTCTAAAAGGAAACACATAGGATGAAGTTTACCAATGTCGTAACGTGCTTTGAAGCTCATGTACTTTATTTTACTTTTTTTTCAACTTGCTCTTTCTCATATGTGAGCACAAAAAACTTAAATTATTCCATAAAATGTTGTTCAGTCATATTTAATTTGAGTATATCAAGTTGTGAGACAGTGTATTAAGAGACTGAAGTTGGATCACATGTTGCTTCTTGAAGCATTTGAGTTTTAGCAAAAATTGGTCTTGCCCCTTGTGGAAAAAATAAATAATGTCAAGAAGGAGAAATTAGCGTGGAATTCTGCTTGGAGAACTAATTCCTTTTTTAACTTTCTTTGGAACAAAGCGGTCTTTTATTTTCCAAAACTTCCACTCCTTTTACAGCTGGTGACTCTGCAACTGTTGCTCTCCCTGGAAGTGAAATTTTAAAAGGGAGGAAAATACTGTTTGAAAATTTTATTGTCACTGGCAGATATAATTAGAAGCTAAACAACCATTTGTTTTTCTTTTGCAGTGTCTCTGTTCGCTGTGGAAAGAAGCATAAGCTAGAAGAAGAGGCAGAAGGGTAAATTAAATTTGTCTTTTATAGCCTGAAAAATCTAAATTGTTTTTTGTTTTCTATAAAGATTTGAGTACATCTCACCTACAACATACACAGGAAGGGAAATTCTGTTGTTGTTTCCATTTGGAACTCTTCCCCTGAATTGCACATAAGCCCAAATCCATTTCAGTTACGTAACTAATTCTGTATCACTGATTTTTCTTGCATGGGTACTCACATTTTAATAAGAGCAATGTGGATTTATTTATTCTGTGGAGGTTTTGTTCCCATAGTACGTCAAATCTGTTGAAATGTATGTGACTGTCTATAACGTTTTTTTCCTGTAGAATGCCACATTTCTCTTTTGACAATTGTAAACTTATTTTGTTTCTTAGTTGTCCTGTGAGGAAGAAGAGACTGACAGGAGCCAAAAATTGCCCTTTGAATCCCAGCACTGAAGAATGGATTCTCTGTGCAGGTCAGCAGGCAGCTGGGGAGGTAGCAAGTCAGTATGATGGCAGCGGTCCTGAAACTGCCATGTTAGAAATTCCCTGTGAAGAAATGGATCAGACAATGGGGGAACAGCAATGCGAGGTTGCTCGCAGGAAGCTTCAGGAAATTGAGGACAGGTAAATGCAGGGATTGAGTAGACTGGCTTTGCTGAGCTTTCCCTTTTTTCGTGGGCATTAAGGGTTATGTCTAGCACTTAGCAGTGTGATCACACTACTGTAAGTTTGAGATGAACCTTCTGTTCAAGTGATTTCTTTTTAGGCTACCTGTGGTCCTGAGTCTTGGGGCTGATACTATGATCTGAAATTGAGAGTGCTAGAGCAAGAGATGCTGAATAAATAACCACCTTTTAACAATCATTGTGCAGCATCACTATACCATGATGAGGTTTTATACTCTTTTGTGAGTGTCCAGAGCTCAAATTTTAACTGATGTAATCTGGTCAGACTTGAGCTCAGCTTTTTTCAACCACTTGCAGCTTGTTCTGTGATTAATACTTCTAAATGCTCAAGGTAGATTTGAATTTGTCAGTATAGAGAATAGCATGAACCACAGAGAGATCTCTGCACATATGTAATAAGACTGAGGTTCATCTTGCTGTTAAATACCAGGTGGCTTGATATTGGGGTGATGGGGTGGCTATGGGCAGGCTATTGCAATCATTTAATAAATGTACCATGCATTCTTACCTTTGAAAGACTTCTGGGAACATCATGTGTATATATCAGTTGATTGCAGTTGAGCTAGTATTCCCAAATATCTAAAATGACCACTGCACACAGTTGTTAGAAAAGCCAAAAGTTATATAAATTATACAACAAGATTTTTTTTTAGATGATTACTCCATAGATGATGCGTGAAGGGAAGCAAGGTACTGTTAGATTATTTTTTTTAATTACTTCTTTTTTTCATGGGTAAATCAGAGTAGTGCTATATATCTTTATTATCTGGCTATTTCTGCATTACAAAGTCTGCTTTGGACTTCTCAGAGGATTGTTCCCCATCCCTCCCAGCTACTCTGCTAAATTTTCTTTAAAAGGTTTACCAAAACCGAAGGAGATACCTCCAGTTTGTTCTAAATGCTTCAACTTTTTGTGCTGTTTTAATCTCTGAGAAATTGGTGCAACGTCCTTAAAGGTTAAGAACTGTATTCAGTAGATTTTCAGTAATTCTTGAAGTTAAGATATGGGGAATTGAGCAGGCAAAGCTACTGCATGACCGAGACTCAGTCCTGTAATGTGACTGAACCATACACTTTCCCCTGAAGTGAATTTATTTATTTTCTCTTAGCGTATGTCTGCACTGCACGCTACTTGGACAATGCAGGGATAACAAAGCTAGCTCAGGTACCAGAAGTGGCATAGCTGCTCAAGTGGCTTCTATGGTAACAGTCATTCTTAGGGTATATTGGCCCAAGAGAGACTCATGTTAACATGGCCCCGCTGCTTCTGGTACCCAGCCTAGGTCAGATATCTACACTGTACAATGCAGTGCACGTAGATATAACTGTAGTCTGCAGTGGATGTGCCTGTTAACAGTATGCTCAATAGTGTTTATCTCCCTCTTCCCCCTCCATTCCTAGGATAATTGATGAAGATGAGGAAGTTCATGCTGATGGAAATGTTAGCAATCTGCCCACTCTTATCCTGTCAGATACCCTTAAAAAAGGGATGAAGAGGGATTTTGGTGAAGTCCTGACAAAGAAAATAATAGAATCTATGTAAGTTCTGGAGGAAATCATGGTGCTATGTAGCTAACACATGCAAATGAAAAGAGACCCAGTCTCTTGTTGTGGAGATGTCCTTAATTACTGCATGATGCAGCCAATGTTGTATAACAGACCATTCATCTGGTCAAAAATAGGAAAAGCTATCCTAATGTAAAAGAGAAGTAAGTGTAACTATAGTGGTCATCAAGCTGTCTGTTTTATACTCCTCATTTGTACAGACTGAAATTTGTTGAATAGACCATTATATCTTGATTTTTATGTATGTGAGTTTCCAAAAGAAGAAGGTCCTCAAGTGTGACCGACAGTGGTCATCAAGTTTGGTGCAAAAGAAAGAAAATACAGGGTCAGAACTAGAAGTAATGGAACTACTTAAGGAAGAGGGAATTTAATAGGGGGAAAAAAAAAAAAAAAAAGAAAAGGTATATGGATTCTGGAATATAGTTCCAGGCTAGCACAAAGGATGAAGATACTCACTGGTCTTCTGCATTTAGTAGTTGTGATAGGAGAACTTAAATTTAACTGAGACTCCATCCCTTCTAGGAGCCGTCCTTCTATGGAGCTGGTGCTTTGGAAACCTCTTCCTGAATTTCTCACAGATAAACTGAAGTCTGTTTCTGTTAAGAACTTCAAGCAGCAGAGTACAGAAGGGTGTCAAGCTAAGCAGTCAGCACCAAGAGCTGCTTTTGACCCACAGACTGCAACATTCCCTGAATCACAACAGACTGCCATGTCTCCAGATCCATATGCTATTTTGGGAATCTCTGGGTGTGCAGAAGAAGAAATGGAGTTGTAGATGCCAGATTTTAGACTGGAAGTGGTGAGCTTCTGATGTTTTTTGTTGCTGTTTTTTGATTCCCTCTTTCTTTCTGGTTTGATGTGTGGATCTGAAGTTTTATTATTGTTTTTGTTTTTCCTACTAACAATCATAAGAACGTGGGTTGGCCAGACACAACTTAAGGAAACTGAAAAAAAAACCCCAAACCAAAAAACAAAACCCCAAGATTTCTGTACTCCGGTCTGTTAAATATTCTTGGTTTTACTGAGAAGGTAATCCAGAGGCCTTTGGAACAAGGAGGTAGCTTTCCATCTTGCTTAATGGTGAAATATCCTCTTAATTGTCCTTGGTAAAGTATAAAATCCAAATATTGGATGTAACTGTGGCTTAAGCCACATCTCTTACTTACTGAGTCATTAAGACTTTGATGCACATACCATGCTTGGTCAGTTAGTTTAATTTGAATTACAAAAAAGGTATGGAAAGGAAGAAGTACTTCAGAGTCTAGATACAAATTGAAAAGCAATCCCTATGGAAATACAGCTTTTCCCACTATTTCATCTGTGACTGTTTTATCTGTAGCTGGTTTGTACTTGATGTAAGCTCAAATGTAGAAATCATACATTCTGCAATGTGGTAGGGAAGGAATGTTACAGCTGAGCATAAGCCACTTGCTTTGTAGAAAGTAAAACCAGCTACTAACTTGCAAGATATCTACTAACTTTAGTCATCTGTGGTTCATTGGCTCCTAAATTGTGTTTGTGGGTTTTTGATGCCCACCCCCTCCCAAATGCTGCAAAGTCTGGAGAAAAGTGGTTCTCAGCCAATTGATTCACATTTTATATTGTACTGTGATTCTTTGTATGCATCGAGTTGGAAAGTCAGTTGAAGACAGTGTAATTTTTATTAAGTAAATGGCATCCTTTAATTTTGATAAACATGGTAAGTAAATCAGATAACAGGCAGCTGATTTTCTGGCGTAAAGAGGGTCAAATGCTGATTATTGTCTGTAACCAAGTCCCAGACTTTGAAAGTGCTGGCATTGGTGGTGAAGTAAAGAAGATACTTGTCTCCTTCCTGAGGGAATCTAGACTTAAAATTTAAGCCAGAACACGTGCCATTAACATGACGTCACATAGCTTATACAGATGTATGCCAAAATAATTGCTTGGGGTGTAAGAAAAGGAATCCTCAATGAGTTACTGCTTGTACCTTTCCTCAGTGCACAACAGTTCTGTTGTTGTGCCCTTAAACAAGGCAGAAATCTTATCTTCTGTGCTTAAGTCCTTGAGCTTTCTCAGAGATATTTGAATTGAGGCTTTTCATAAGAAATTCCTTTCCAAGTACTAGGTTCTGTTCAGAGTCTTAGCATCCCGTTTTTTTTGACATCTTGCTAACATAAAGCAGCAAGTACACAGTAATGCAGCTCTTTGCATAAGAAAATCTACTCTTCCTTTGCACAGCTAATCAATAATCTTTGTGATGATATTTTTTACTGTTCAATAGGCCATAGTTGACAGTTTAAAATCAAGCTTCTTTTTTTTTGCATTCATCCTTTCTTTTCTTTCGGCTGACAGCAGAAGCTTTGTTAAAAAGATACCTCTATTTGTTAAATCCTGTCTATCTTGCTGCTCATGTTGAAGGTTGTGTGAAATTTGCTGTCTTTTGCTAAAACATTTCAGAGCTTCACTAAAAACATTCCAACATTTGAATAGGTATTACTCTGGAAACCAGTGTATAACTTTACTATTCTGGATCTTTTATTAAATTGAAGAATGTGTGCAGCTTTATCTTGCTATTATGTCTAATTTCATTTCAAGTCTGCTATAAATCTCTTGCATGTACTGTGCAAAATTTCTCACGTATTATTAAGCTGCTGAATGGGCTTTGACATGCTACATTGCTAGAGTATAAAGTAAAGCAGTGCAGTCTGGAGAAGGTTGTAGTCACTGCGGATAGAAAATGTGTGCCTCCAAGTAATTACCTAGTTTTAAGCTTGCAGGATTATAGTGAAAGTTCAAGGTTGGAACTGTTTTAGCTGATAGCTCTGAATCCTAAATAAACTGAAAAGAAAAGATAAAAAATTTAAAAATTTGATTAAACCATCTCAGCAACACTAAAATTGCAACAGAGGATGTAGAAAACTGTGGGAGGCCTAAATATGTCAAATCTAGATGCAGGGTTTTTCCTCTTAAAAATGACAAATTGCATATCAAATTTGCAGAATACATTTTTGTAGAAGGCTTTTAAGCATACTTTTCCTGTTATGTTTGTACCAAAGGTTGACTTTGAGGGGTTTATTTCCTCTTAATTGTTTGTTGCTAATATGGCATTACTGACCTCTGTTATTTTGCCGTCTGAAACAAGAATATAGTGGTGGACTATTGACAAAGACCATGAGACGGGGGAAAAAACTGTGTCCAAGAAATTTACTTTGGTAGAAAACATTTAATTTTTTTCATGATTTATTTCTGCCCTTGTGATAGGAGAGAACAGGGTTGAATTCCTTAAATTGATGGGGAGAAGAAGAGTGGAGTAGAGCAGGAATTGAGTATCTAGGAGGACTGAGCGAGATTCTTTGGAGAGGGTAAGAGAGAACAAGCTGCTGGGTGTTTTCTAACTTCTGTATTTGTCACAGTTTCATTTGTTGTTGGCTTCCTTAAAATACTTTTATTAATGCTGTTTACAAGTGGGATGGCAAATGTGATGCAGTATTAGGAAAAACTTTATTTTGAAATATGGAAGATCTGATTCTGGTCTGTCTTCTCTTGGGACCAAATCACCCTTTGTATGTCAGTTTTCAATAAATTTTCTAAAATATTTTTTAGATGGCTGTGTTTCATTCCTAATAAAAGCAAAAATCTTGAGAGCATACATCCAGTTCTTCAACTGGAGGGTAAAATTCTGGCCTAAGATTTTTAATGTAACCACATAGTCCCAAGGGCATTGCTTCTCTCCTCCACGGTGTTCAACAGGGCGGGGGGACAACAGCAGGGTAGAACAAACCTGAAGCTGCCAGAAAGGAAGAGTTGCTGTAAATCTGTCATGACCCGAAGGTGTCTAACAAAGCAAAGGATTACCAAAAGGCATTGCTACAGCTTGTGTTTTCAGATACTTCATTTTACTTCAGACTAAAATTGAGAATGCCTAGCTTGCTTAGTTCTGTATAAACTCAAGAAATGTTTGAGGAGAGTTTTAAAACAAATTCAAAAATTAATAATTCTTTTATTGGAATGTAACACTTTGCTCTTTTGTTTAGCATCTGTTCAAGTTTTTCAAGCAGCTGAAGGATAAAGATGGGTGTGCTAGACCAGTATTACCTTTGCTTTCAAAAGGAGGGGAAAAGAGCACTTCAGTTCTATATTAAAAAATTAGGTTTCTAGGCAGAGTCAAACATGGACTCGCTTAAATTGTACTGTGCATTTATACAAGTCTTAAATACTTCTCCTGTGCAGAGTGGGAGAGAGGAAAAGAATAGCATAAACCCCAACCCAGTTAGGATTGTGTGAGGCTCTCCTGGCTGGCTGAGAGTCTCCTTGGAGATATGGCTGGCAGATTGCAGAGATGAGAGGAGTATCTTGGTTACAGAGACAACCCTGCAGAGAGGGACAGAATTTATTTTGGCATGGACTTGGAACTGGACTTGTAATTCTTCCAGAGCCTGAGTGTTGTGTATCAGTTAGCTAGAACAGATGTGTGGCTTCCATCACAGATGATTTATTTAATCAAATGCAGATGTAACATACATGTGAACCACTGGGTCTGTATCCAAACTGCTTGTGAGGCAAGTAGGACTTCAAAACAGAAGTTAGAGCAATCTGAAAGCAGTTGTCTTAAGGAAACATACTGCAAAGGTGAAAGCTTTATGCATGTGTTACTCTTCCCTATGCTGCCCCAGCTTTGCCTGGATTTAGTTTAACTTAGCATCTCTCACCTACAGGAAGATCTCAGATAAAGATCCTCTGCTGACAGTTTAAATTCTCACACTTTAATCTGTGGATGTTGATATACTATATAAATATACATATTAAAAAAACCACAACAAAAAAAACCAACAAACCCTCATCCTGCCTTGGTAGACTTGATTCTAGTAAAAAATATTAGCGCTAATAGAAATTCTGAATGCTATTAGGCTTCCAGATAACCAACAAGAATTATTTGTGTGCTTTTAGTGACAGAGATCTCAGTAAATATAGCAGCTTGTCTTGGTACCTAATGCTGCCAGTAAGTGAGGATAAAGCATGCCAGGAAACATCTGTATCTGCGAAGTTGAAAAAGGGAAGCAAAATAGTGTAAATACTACTTCATCAAACATTTTTTTTTGTCTACTGTGCTTAACGAGGTTTGGGTGTGAACCTATTAGAGTCTACTTCCAAATATGGTGGAAATGTGACTGTAACACATTTTTACTTGAATTTTTTTTTAGACATTGCAAATTTGTTGCTCATTGAGACACAAAATGTGTTCAGCTGTGAGGGAAGTTAAATGATGCACTACTGGAAGTGGGCAGTAGCTGTCCACACACACCAAGCATGCCAAGCTACACAAGGTCACGAGGTGGCAGTGTTGCCTGCATTTAAATTGGTGAATCACACCTGGGAAGTTACTCAATAATCAGCGTATAGAAGCAGTTTTCAATAGGCAGTGTTGAGGATTATGTATTTCACTTCATCTCGCATCACCTTCACAGTTTATCCAATACACGTTTACAAATGGTGCTGCAACAGCCAAACAGCACAGGCCTCACCCTCCAGAACAGATGGGGCTGGGTGGTGGCTACAGGCACTGAGACGAGCTGCTTGGATAGAAAAAAATCCATGTCATGCAGGCAGCTTTGGAGGAAGGCAGAGGAGTGGCAAAATTTTAGGTCTTCCTGCCTTTCAGAGCAGCCTGTTGCAGGAGAGAGGAGAGGGACAGAGATGCAGCACCAGTGAAGTGCTTCCGTGCCCACATCAAGGTGTTTTGGGCCATAGGACAAAAGTGCTTTTCCTGCATGCAAGGGCAGCAGGAGGACATGCTGCAGTGGAGTTACTCCTTGAGCAGAAGACAGTAGCTTTCTGCTGCATCCCGCTCACTCTGTCCACTCATCCTTTTGCCTTGTTCTAGCTGTGGTAGCACAAGGATGAGTCTGAGGATTGCAGTGCTCTACTGCAAAGTGGCAATTGGCAGCTGCTGCAATAATGTTGGAGAAAAGGGGATCTGCGCCACCACTGCTTCCTCCCCCTGCTGCGGTAGCAGCCTTTGCTTCAAAGCACTTGGCTGCGCAAGGGCAGGCTCTTAAGTGGAACTCAGGTTACAGGAGACCAAAAAAAAAGCTTGCCTGCATAGCTATCAAACTATACTTAAGATGCTGGTTCAAACCACCACCACTATCTACTTTGATGAATCTCAAAGTTGAGCACTGATCTTTCTTACGCCACTGGCTCAAAATAACTGGCATAGAAGCTTGCCCAGCAGCTGCAAACTGTAGTTTGGCTGGCTTAATAACAAAGTAATATGCAGTAGAGACTTTTTTTGTCTTTATTATTCTGAATGTTGCCTGTTGGATTTTCTGGTGGTTATCTTGTTTATGGCTTAGGCACAGGCAGGGCTGATAATTGGTACAGGATTTTTTTTTCCTTAGGATGGCTATGCCTTGCATGTATTCATATTTCTCTCAATGTACCATTCATGTACAGCTGTTAGACTTAACGTCTGTTGTCTGTCAGACATGTCAGTGGTAGCAGGTTCCTCAGTTTTTCCACCAACTTTGTCTTAAAGAAAAACACAACAGCTTAGAGAGTTACCTACAGCCATTTGCTGCCTAGACAGCTTTTCCAGTTGTTCCGGTTTTTTTGTTTGGGGGTTTGCTTGTTTCTTAAAGGCAGCTATGTTTTTCTGTGCCCCTCTAATTTGGTCTTAGTTTGAGCTGAATTACTCGTTGAGTCCTTGGATTTAGTTATTATGATGTGTATATGATACTGGGCAGTGCCTTCATAATGGTGCATCAAAAGCTAAGTGCAAGAATCAAATTTCTTCCTTATTCATTGAAAACAAAGGTCATGCTTTCCCCAAGAAATCTGTTGCAACCAGTATAAGAAGTTTATCTCTCAAGCAATTTGCCAAAAGAGTTCACATTAACTCTTCTCCTCCAGTTTTCCTCATCCTGTCAGTTAATGTTGCTATGTCTTAACCTGAGCTAGCATGAAAAAAACAAACAAACAAACAAAAACCCCTGCCTTAAGCATTGGGAGGGGGAAGCAGCATTCCACAGGTATCAGGTGTTACAGCCTGTGAGCTTTAAGCTACTCCTCACTTCCTTTGATTTTGGCTGCCTTTCCCCCCTCAAATTTCTTAAGGAAATGAGAGGATTTCTACATCTTTAAACATAAAGGCTGGAGACACATGTTTTTGGTGAAAAGCCAAAATAGAAACCAGGGAGGGCTGGGTGGGAGGGAACAGGCACAGATGGATATTCAGGTTTTCCAGGCAGGTTCCTCAATGCTCAGTGAAGCCTTTTTGCTGTGCCACCATTTCCTGCTGCCTTAGTTAAGCAAAAACACAACTAACTCAAAACAACAGAAAGACTTGCCCTTACAGTATTTTTAGTGGCAGAAACTACATTTAAATCAACCCATACTATATGACAAGCCTCTTACCTCTGTTCATACTCTTCACAAATACCTTAATAAGGGAAGAAATATTACAAAAAGATGTTCAGGTAGCAAAGTATTAACTTTATATAGTTCATTTCATTAATTAGTTGATTTTAATTTCTTTTGGCAAAGGCCTTACTTTCAGTAGCTATTAAAATGGTTGGTTACCAGTTGTCATGCTTTAAAAGTGTTTGTATTAGTCACAGTAGCTTGTCTAGGTGCACAGAAAATGCAATTCTAATGCTAAATATCACACAAGTGAAACTGGACTGAGAAACATCCTTGATAGCCTGAGATATCTTAAGGGAGATGATAGTGTATATCACTAAAAATTCCACTTGATCTACAATTGGCATCAGCTCCTGAGGAAGCAAAAATAAGCAAGAGCCTCATACAGGAACAGGCTATGTCTACAGTGACTCAGTTTTGAACATCAAATATGCAAGCACACACACATTGCCTGGAAGTACTGCAGCACCGAACAGAGACACAGTTCCATCAATTACTATGCTTAATCTTCTATTGCACTACCTTTTAGAAGCCCGATGTTGTCTGTGAGAACAGGAAAAACAGCCACAAGAGCAGCAGGGTGGGCTGCACATCTTCCATGTGCTAGTCTCGATCTTTCTCTAGCCCTGAGGAAACTATATGAAGTATCGGTCCTTTTACAGGTGCTACTTTCAACTACTGCATACTTATTCCTGTAAACTATGTCTTTTGACTTCTAGGCTAGAAAACGTAGAGCTGAGTTTTAAAGAAATGAAACTTCTTCCTTACGTTATTTCTGCTGTACTTAATTTTTTTAATTTCATATGAAGTTCTAATAATACTGACAAAAGTAATGCAAAACTATGGATCAAATTCTCACTTGTCCATTTGCTTTTTGGACTCACAACATGTATTAGGTACTAAGGATCCTCTTGCAGTCTTCCCTGTTTTCCAGCTTGGAAGTAAAGCAACTTATTCTCAGTTTTTTTAATCTAAGTTTCTGCTATATTGCACAGCTGTAGTTTTTACTGCTATCCAATATTCAGATACAACGCTTTATTACAAGAAGCTAGGTTACTCAAGTTTGTAACCCAAAGCAGTCCTGTCACCGTGAATGTTAGTGACCAATACCTTCCTGTCCCATCCCCCCATTTCCTTCCCTCCCCCACCTCAAGTTATTTTTGTCAAAATTTAATGCAAGACATGAAATAGCACTTAAACCAAGAACAGTTGTTCAAACACCTGGAACAGCTCTCTCACTTTCAGAAGTGAGAAGAAAATGTCAGTTTCTTCTCTATCACTCCAATTCAGTGTTTTCAATACTGTGATGTTGGAACAAATGGATGAGGACAACAAAAAGAATCCTACTGTGGTATTTGAAATTAGGTCCTGCAAAGTTAGTTTTATGCTTCAGGAATTCCTGCAGTAACACAGAACCCACACCTTTTTCACCCCATGTACATCTCACAGCTTCACAAGCACTAGACATGCCACTTGAAATGCACCCACCTTCACTCGACTGATCATTTTGAATGGCACTACTTGCCAAGAGGAAGGTATTACAGTAATTTTATTCAGACATCAAGCTACTGCCACCTGCATTCCCTTTTCAGGCTGCAGATTTTGCTGTAGCAGCTCTGGCCATTGTACAAACCCATCTACCTTGAACAGAGTTTGCAACATTAAGTGCTCCCACAAAGAAGCTGCTGAAGCATCCAGCTATGTACACCACAGAAGTGCTGCTGGACTGGTGGATTAAGGTGGTATAAGGACAAGACACCAGGAGACCTAATCTCTTAAGCTGCATTGCACTTTAATTGCATCAATACAGTTAAATATTAAACGGAGAAAGCAACTCTACATAGCAAATGGAAAACAAGCATTTACATAGTAAATCTGTAAGATGTACAGACTATTTAGTTTTAACCCAGTTGTCTATACATGAATACCCCACTGCAGTTTTTGGTGTTTTTTAAATGGAAAACAAAAAAAAGTTTTTTAAATGGAAAACAAAGTGAACATTTTCAGGTTCACGTGGAATTGGCAAGTTACCAGGAAACAAGCTTTCCTTCCTCATAAACCAACATTGATGGGGGTGGGGCAGAGGCCAGGCCAGGATACTCTAGGCTTTTCCTAGGCTTTTTTTGTACCAGGAGAAATTATCCATCACTCCATATGCTAGCATGGCTAGAAGTGAGCAACACTTTTCTGAATACACTGGATTTCCCCCACACTCCCTAAAGGGGCATATCCTGTTATCCTGCCAGGATAGTTATCCAAGGGAAGTTAACACTACTGAGTTAGACACTGATCAGTTGTGGAAAGAGTTCATTGGCAAAGCTATCCTCCCAAGCACGGTCAGTGTCAAGTGGAGAGGACATGTCACTGAAGGGCGACAGGGATCCTTCATATCCAGAGTCACTACAGGCATCCAACAGAGAGCTTGAGGCTGCAAGGCTATGATGAGAGGGAAGCAGATGAGAGATGCCCAGTTCAGGCATGAAGCTGTCTACAGGTTCCTCTTTCACAGATACTGGGACCTCAAGGATAGCTTTGTCTTCAGACGGAGAGAGAGATACTTCCTCAATTTTCACTAGCATATTGGCTGGGTTGCCCATTTTAACAGGAATCTCCAGTATTAGGGGCTTTGTGTATACATGATCAAACCTTATCAGTTCATTAATGGCCTCCAGCTTAGCTGATGAGGACCCCAAAGAAGGAGAGGGGGAGGTTGGTATGGAATTTGTTTCTCCACAGATCTCTTCCTCCAGCTTTTCCAGGCACGTTGACTCTGAATCAGCGTATTTGAGAAACATCTCTGGGTCCAGACTGTCCAGAAAGCCCAAGAGGAGATCAGACTGCAAAATGAAATACAGTTTTAGAAAGGCAACCTACTACTGTTACAGCAAAACATCAGTTGTGGCATCTATTAGCCCTCATCTGGAAGTTAAAATATGCTAATGTGATTGTAGAACTAGAAGTTGTACCATGAACACCACTATCAGAGCAGACAGTTCTTTCAGAAATTCTTTGTCCATTAACTTTTTTTGTAAGGGTACTAGCAATCCCCACAGAATTCTACATGCATTTAATATTCACAGTCTCTATTAGAAAATCCACAAGATATTGGGCCCATCAGGTACAAACACCACACTACCTGCTGGCTTCACAGAGCAAGTACCAGAACCTGACTTAGGCACACCTGCCCATGACCAAAGTTGGGGGTTTTGTTTTGGGTTTTTTTTGTTTGCGTTTTTGGTTTGGTTTTTTTAGGGTGAAAGATGGCTGTCCTTACATTTCTGGAAGTCATTCATAAGGGACAGGCTTTAAGTTCAAACAACTTTGCTAAGGATCAAAGCAACCAGGTTTGTTTTCAACAACAGTAAAAGCACAGTATGCTTTTGATATTTGTACACTTTTGCAGTAAGAGCTAAAAGACTGTTTCAGGCAATATCCTTTAAGATTTTATGAAAACGACTTGTTCAAGTCACATGAACTCCTGCACTCACTGGATACAGCTTAACACAGCTATTCTGAACCACAGGCATAAGATTCCAAGACTTGGAAAACAAGTCATAAAATGATTTTACATCAAGAAGTTACACTGGTCTTAAATGCACCATGGTTCTGAATTTCATGGGCATTTTGGATAGGAGTGGATGCTCACCTCTGAGTCTGAAGAGTCACTGCCATCAGAATCCATGTGAAAGTTATCAGAAATGGTGACTGCTGGGCCTGCACCTGCTGCAGAGGAACACGTAGTCTGAGTGCTGCGGACTCAGCGGACCCGGTCACCAGTCTAATCTCATCCACCTGTGATTCCTTCACAACCTGTGCCAAGCAAAAAACCCAGTCAGTCACCACAAATGTTCTGGCAGACAGTACCATACATAATCCTGAGGCTCACACTCTTCCTGCAAAGGTTTCCAACAGTAGCTTCTCCATTTGCTTGTGAGTAGGGACCTGCAGGTAAGACCACTTCCAAAGTTGGCTCAAACTTCCATACATTTACAGATTATTTTGTTCACCACTTTAAATGACCCCCTCCACTATACCCTCTGGTCTTTTGAGACAGGCATAGGTGTCTGTCACAATTACTACTTCATTTCTAGAATGCAACGTAGAAGACCAGATGAAATAATCTTAAAACAGCCTGGAACTAGTTGGCTCGCTTTCTCCCACGCTACCAGCGGCATCCGCTTCAGCATCGTTATCTATTCAGTCTGTAGGAAAGCCTCCATTTGGAGGTCAGGAACGTTTCTGGCGCCCGAAGTATCCCTCTTCACAGCACAGCAGTTTCAGCCCGAGAGCTCTCAGCACGGGGGCTGCTCGCCCACACCACACAGTTACCTCTCGTGGCAGGTTCTGCCGAGAAAGTGGGAGACAAGCCCCCAGCGCGGCAGAAGGCTCACCTTGGGCTCGCTCTCCTCCTCCGTCTTCAGAGCATCTAAACCCAGGCGGCAGCGAAGCTCCTGGTTCTCCAGAGCAAGGTTACACGTCTTCTCCCGCAGGAGCTGGTTTTCCAGCAGCAGCTTCTGGTTCTACAGAGAGCCGTGAGGCAGGGAGGCCGCA